CTCATAGCAGCGTATAGTTAGACAATTTTTGTAACAATAGGAATGTACAACCATTTCCACGCAAAAAAAAGAATATATCCTTAGTCTCCGTCATATTTGTACTAGTATTCATATAAAAAACCAAGAGTTAGAAAAGAAGAGCAATTATGGAAACAAAGGCGATTAGAATCTCGGTAAGATTTTCATAATGCAATTTTCTGGATTTTGTTTAGTATTTTTGTTTTGGCCGGTGTACACCACAAGCTGGTAATGGTAAGATTCTGCTAAGCACTTCATAGTTAGAGAGCAAAATCAATCGGTGCCTCCTATCTTGTATGGGTGATTTACTAACCTGGTCATTGTTTAGTCGGAAAAGCTCCATGGTTTTCAAGCAATCAGTCCCATTAAACCCGCCAATCACAACACCGGAACATTCCTAGGAAAATAGCATTAGTGTTGAACGACGTACAGCGAAAGATTTGCATTGCTCAGGCGGAAACCTTCCAAAAAAGCCTTTCTAAATTCAAGACCCTATACGATGATAACGTAGTCTCACGTCTAGATTACAAAAAGCTGCACAGCTTCTTTCCTCTGCATCATCAACAGACAACGATGCACATTCCCATTTCCCATCAACCGCTCGTATATGCTCCATGCTATTCAAATGGCAGTTCTTTCCCGTACATCCTTAATAGACCATTAAATCAAAAAAGAAGTGTTCTGAGCTACAGTAGATAGGTGTAGGCCCTTCTGTATCTATCCGTCCGCCCACCCCCTCTCATCAACCAATCAGCTACCAATTAGCCTAAGCCCGACCAATCAGAGACGTGAGAGTGGGCGGGGCGACACGGTACGGAAAGGCACGGCAGCTCTTACAACAGCTTAGTCTGACCTCCAATGACAATTACGCCATTTTTCTCACGTAATACAGCAGGACTTCGCCGTGGTTTTTCAAGTTCTCCTACTAGTCGAGAACTGATATTTAAGCCAGACGACGTCCGTTGAAAAGTCACTTCTTCGATAGATCGCAACGCACCAACTTCAGCTCCGTCGGTACATCCACCAATCAGAAGAATGGATGCTGACATAATACAGATCTTGTTGACTGAAAGCAAGTTGGTTGCTGCATCCAGTGACTTGCCCTAGCTAAGGGGAAATTTTAGCATAAGGTTGTCTTCCAAGAAGTTGTGCGACAAGCCTGTTGAGAAACCGAG